CTTTTGTTGGTTCTGCCTCTACAGAATTCATTTTGAAGCACCTAAAGTTGTTTGTTTGGAGGGGAATTTGGGAGCACTCAGGTAAGTCCCTGCCTTTTCTCTGCAATCTTGGCTCCAGCCTTCAATGCAAAATTTTAAAATAAAATACTAGGAAGGAGGCTATAGCAATATATCACAAAGATCATGCTCTATGGCCAGGTAAGATTTATACCAGGAATGCAAGACTAGTTCAAAATTAGGAAAACTGTAAGCATAATTGATCATATCAATAATAAAAATTTTTAAAAAATCACAATTCTATAAATATATGCAGAAAAAGCTTTTGACAAAAATTGTGACATGGTCCTATTAAAAACACTAGAAAACATAGGAAAAAATGGATTTTTTTCTTAAAATGACAAGGAGTTTCTGAAGGACTTATGATTAAAAATGCAATCCGTCCCCAGAGAAAGAAATAATGGTGTCTGAATACATATTGAAGCATATATTTTTTCTTTCTTCATTTTTCTTGAGTTTTTTTTTTGCATACATTTTCTTTCACAACATGAATATTATGGAAATATTTTGCATGACTAAACATGTATAACCTATATTGAATTGCTTGTCTTTTCAATGGAGGGATGGAAGGGTAGAGAGGGAGGAAGGGAGAGAATTTGTAACTCAGAGTTTTAAAAATGAATGTCAAAAATTGGTTTTACATTTAACTGAAGAAAAATAAAATGCTAAATAAATTTAAACAAAAGCAGAAAAAAATAAAAGAACTTGGAAAAGAAAAAAATAAAATGGCAAGGAGTTTCTATCAAAAACCAAAAGCAAGCATTATGTGAAATAGGGATAAACTAGCAGCCTTCCCAATAGATCAGGGGTGAAGCAAGGATATCTATTATACCATTATTATTCAAAATTGTACAAGGAATGCTAGCTATAGCAATAAGATAAAAATAAATTGAACGACTAATAAGCAATAAGGAAGCAAACTATCACTCTCTGTGGACAATATGATGGTAAACTCAGAGAACCCTAGAGAATCAACTAAAAATCTCATTAAAACAATGAACAACTTTAGCAAAGTTATGGGGTATGAAATTAAATCCACACAAATTATCAGCATTTCTTAGCAAGAAGAAATAGAAAAAGAAATTCTACTTATAATAACTTCAGATGATATAAAATCCTTTGTAATCTACCTGCTAAGACAAACCCAGGAACTTTATGAATACAATCATAAAACACTTCACATAAATAAAGACAGATCTAAATAGTTGGATAAACATTAAATTACTCATGAGTAGACCAAGCTAATATAATAATAATGACTATTCTACCTAAATCAATTTACTTATTCAGTGCCATACCAATCAAACTACCAAAGAATTATTTTATAAAACTAGAAAAAAATAGTAATAAACAATATTCATCTGGAAAAACAAAAAGTCAAGAATATCAAAGGAATCAATTAATAAAAAATAAAAAATGAAGTAAGATGGCATAGCAGTAACAGATTTTAAGCTATATTGCAATGTGGTAATCATCAAAACAATCTGGTACTCGTAAAGTAGTAGAGAGGTTGATCAGTGGAATAGATTAAGCATATAATATATGGTTTTAAATGACTATAGTAATCTAGTGTTTGATAAATCCAAAGATCTAAGATTTGGGGGCGAGCATTCACTATTTGACAAAAATTGCTGGGAAAACTAGAAAGCAGTTTGACGGAAACTAGGCATAGACCAACAACTCATGCTGTATACCAAAATAAAATCAAAATGGGTAGGTGATTTAGACATAAAGGGCATTATTCATGTCTATGATTAAGGGAAAATTTTATGAACAAAGAGAGATAGAGAGATTCATGGATAATTTTGATTGCATGAAATTCAAAAAGTTTTATACAAACAAAACCAATGCAACCAAGATTAGAAGGAAAGCAGGAAACTGGGGGTGAAATTTTACAGCAAATGTCTCTGATAAAAGTTTACTTTCTCAAATATATAGGGAACTGAGCCAAATTTACAAAAATCAGAGCCATTCTCCCATTGATAAGTCATCAAAGGATATGAACAGGCAGTGTTCAGAAGAAGAAATCAAAGTTATAAAAAAAAAATCCAAGTCATATGAGAAAGTGCTCTAAATCACTAATAATTAGAGAAATAATTGGAACAGCTCTGAGGTACTGCTTCACATCCATCAGGTGGGCTAACATGACAGAAAAGGAAAATGCAAATGCTGTGCAAAGGAGATGTGGAAAAATAAGCATGCTAATGTACTGTTGGTAGGGTTGGGAGGGCAATGAAGATTGGCTAACCTGAGTTCCTCCCAATATAGAGGCTCCCTTATGCCTCTGAATTACCAAGGGGACAAAGTGGGCTGGCATGCTGCAGGGATATTCCCTAGGCAAAAAAGCCACAGGGATGAACAAATGGTACAGAGTGACAAATGAATTGGATTGGCCAAGATAGTTTTTTCTGGGATGATCTCATAATACTCCTAAGTATCTGGCTTCTTGTGAAAGTGGGCACTAGGATTTTGTGCCAGCTGCAGGTTTCCCTGAATGAGATCAGGCAGGTCAGCAGTTTTGTTTAACGTCACAGGGATAGAGGATGATTATAAGGAATTCAGTGGCTTCCCTGTCCCACTAAAGGAGGAAGATCCAGGGAAGCTCATGTCCTCTGAGTCACCCTGTCAAAGGAAGTCCTGTAGTTATGGCTCAAAGTCCCTTTTCCCCACTGGCAGAGAGTTTGAATATCAGATAATGGTCAGTTCCCCAGGTCTTCTCTCCTCTTCCCTCTTTTTCTCCTTCCCCCTTCCCCACCAACCAGCTCGAATAAGCACCGTGGCTCTTTCCCCATTAAGTCTGATTCTTGGTCAGTCAGATAAGAGCCTTATAAGCCAAACAAAAGAGTTTCTATTTTATCCTGTGTACATTTCTCGGCCTCATTTGCTTCACTTGTAAAATAAGGCTAATAATACTTGTGCTTCTTAACTTAATGTTGTGAGGAAAACACTTTGTAAGCCTTAAATTACTATACAGATGTTATCTTTTTTATTCCTCGGTCACCAACCTCACTTAAACAAAAAGCTGATTAATTGTAGATTGGATCAAAGCTATTTACATTTCTGTGTTCATTTAAAATATGTCTACCTACACAGAGAAGGAGAACTAAGACAAATGTGCAGAAAAAACTGTCCAAAATACAGCGCTGATTTCATGAGCTAATGGTTATTTTTGAATGTGACATTGAGTCTTAATACAGTTTTGATTACTGAATTTATTTTCTTATAAAATGTTTCAAGTTCACTGTTTGAAAAGTTGTAGAAATATTCTGAAATTTCCCTGAGAGATCATAAACCCAGGTGAAACACTTCTAAATTTATACATTTTTTCTTTATTATTTCTAATTCCTAGAATCCTGGCATAGTTCATGCTATTCAGTAGTATAATACAGATAAATATTTCCTTTTAAAAACAACATAGAAATGTGTGATTTCCTCTCTCGTTCCACCCAGTAGTAAAAGTTTGTGAAATAGCAGGCACTAAGAATTTACCTTCAGGCCATAAAGCTTTGATGCTTCCATAATCATAGAGTACAGTACATAGTTACAAAGTAAGTAATAATAGGCCTAATTAGAGTCTTAATATAACACTATGGTTGCTGGGCATGTGAATGTAAAAATGGAAGATAATATTATCTTGATTGAAATAATTTAATGTCTATGACTAATAAAAAGCATGTTGGCAAATTTAATTTAATTTGATTCCTAAAATGCCCAAAGGAGGAATACAGATGAATGTCACGTAGTAGTTCTGTGTGGGGAAAAGAAAAAAGGACAGGTTTTGACCTGCTTCTTCACTCAGCAAAACAATAACAAATAAAAAAGTAACTTATAAGTAATTTAGACAACCTGGATTGGTTTGGATCCATGATTTGGGCTTCCATTTCAAATTAATTCTGCCCCATCTTTCACCTTATAACTTCAGCCAACCTGCTCAAGCTCCTTAAATCTGACCATGTTTGTTGCCTTTTCATATTTGGGGGAAGATATTTGGGAGAATAATTTGAGCATACAAATATATGTATCTGTATATTTGCCAAATTTGAGAAAGTAAATGTACCAATTATCACTTTATATGACATGTGTATTCCTAAGAGTTTCACATACAGAAAATTTTAGTTAATTTACATCATATTGTAAACATACTAGAGGATCTTTCTATTGAAACAAATATTACAGTAAAATAAGTAATCCCTCCCAAATTTAACTGTTTTGAGTTCATATTTTTATATATGAACACACCTGTTCTGCATCATTGACTAGATATCTTCATACATGAGGACATGCTATCAAATATCATCCAGTTGTCTGAGTATCATATTCAGTATTTATTTAATTTGGTGGCATCCACATCTAAGATCTACATGGTTTATTTGTATATATGATATTTAGAGCCAAATAATTTCCTTTTTCATTTTCTTTCTTTTTGAAGAGGACATAAAGAATCTAGAAGAATGTGATAAATTTAAATGAATATATTTCCAGATCAGGAAAAATTCCAAGTATTTTGAGGAAGTGAGGAAAATTTACGTCTGACTCCACCATAGCTTATCAGTGGTAGTGAAGTGCAGGTTGGCAGATAATGTTTCTAATCTAGCTGCTTCTCCACATTATCTCAAAAAGTCTAAATTTTTCCACTCTGGAAACTCATAGAGAAGTTAAATGTTGAAAGTTAAGTGAATCTTAAAGTGATTTGGATTTCAATTTGTTGTCTCCCTTGCATACCCAATCACACATGCACATCCTATTATGTAAAAGTCAAACAGGATCTGATCTGTACAAGCCTCAAACATTTTCCAGCTATGTCATTCTTCCAAGGTTATGTGTATAGGCATTGTTAGTTATTTTCTTCTCTTTGCCTTTCTGTTCCTTTCTCTCCCCCAGCCTCATCCCCACCTGTTTTTCATGATGGAAACTTTTTTTTCTTTTCTTTTTTTTTTTTAAAGAAACTTAAGCACAAAAGGAAAATGAAAAAGCTACAGACCGATTTGGCAACAGTTAAGCAGGAGGCTGCCATCACAGTGCTGGAACTCAATGAGAAGATAAAGAGTTTCTATGAAGGAAAGCCAACCCCTAGAGGTCAGTATATACATGGAACTAGAGGTCTGAGGAAATGTTAGGCCTACGCAGTACACCAAAGAATAAGAATGTTTAGTGTTAGCATCCTGTCCTGGCCTGACCCCTCTGCAGCATGGCTTGAAGTAATGCACTGTCAACTCTTTCACGATTTAGGATAAACTTTGTCTTATTCAGGGGATAGAAAACTGAGATAGAAAAGGCCTTGCAAACTGCTTGCTAGAAAAAGACTTTGAAGATGAAAACTAAGATGTGATAAACTAGATTTCATATTTCTTGAGGACTTGAACCATTTTCCTTTATCTTCTCCAGCATTTAGTACAGAACTTTAGACATCATGGGATTGTGTTGAATTGAATTGAATATGATGTATTAGCTACGGCCAATAGCAATAATACAAGAAGGGGAAAGGGAGTAGGGAAAAAAGGACTAATTACCTCTAGCAGCATGGTTCAGAAACTGAATGAATCATTTATCTGCAGATGGATGGCAGGCTTGGAAGACAAGAGAGGCAGGTGAGTACCAGAGACAGTGTTTTGGAACTCAATTAACTTGGTCAAGGAATAAACAGGCAAGATGGTTTGGAAATGTTATCTGAGTGTTCAGAAGAATTTTAACAGCCATCAATATCTATTAAAACAACAACTTGTTTCTATCCCAGAAGGGACACAGAGTAAGAAAATCAGATTCTCCTGAGCACCAGTGCTCCTCAAGTAGGAGTAGTTCCTTTCATTTAATCTAGGCTGTAGAATCCATGCAAGATTTATTTTCTTTCATTTCTTTCTTTCTTTTCTCCATCTTTGGTGGATCTCTTGCAATACTTACTCACAAATGCAGCTCTTCCTTCCTTCGGTATGAGCCACATTAAGTACAACTGTTTCATGCCATTTGTCTTACTTTAGTTCCCTGTATTATTTAAAAGTAACCCAGAGGAGGGGAGGAGGGACTAGGTGGAAATAAATAGAAGATGAGGAGGAAACAGTAGGTGTGATGACTGTAGAAAACAATGGCCATGAAATTGTTTGGAAAAACATTTTATTGACACATCTGAATTTAATGTGAAACAGTCACAAAAAAGGACAATCTGATACCAGACTATTCAGTGTTCTTGGACAAGAGCATATACCATTGTTTCTTTAGGATCTTGAAATTGTCAGTGAATGCAAAGCTTGCCCACTCCTTTGAGCCATTTCAGGATAGATGAGAAAATAAACAGAAAAACTGGATGAGCATCATAAAGTATCAATGTCCTAGAAAGGAAAACAAAATTAAAGAAAAGCCTTGACTTTACTCAGAATAATAGTTTTTAAGTGCACAATAAAATACATAGATTTACAACAGAAATCCATTATATTGGAATAATAATGATCAAGATAATTTTTTTTTCTTTTTGGTGGGGCAGTCGAGGTTAAGTGGCTTACCCAGGGTCACACAGCTAGTAAGTGTCAAGTGTCTGAAGTCGGATTTGAACTCAGGTCCTCTTGACTCCGAGGCTGGAACTCTATCCACTGTGCCACCTAGCTGCCCCTCAAGATAATTTTTTAAGTTAATGTACCCCAGAAAGAACCCCTGGACTAGATAATGAGATTTAAGGAACCTGAGAAATAAGAAAGAGAATTTGAGAGAGCATCAGCATGGATATTGAAGGTTCTGTAGTATATTATTCTAAGAAGGGGCCTATTTATAGACTTCACCTGAATGCTGAAAAGGATCCATGACACATTAAAAAAGAAGCTAAGAAAAGACTAGTTTCAAGCTCTTCTCTCCATTTCAACCACATATCAGGATGGATGGTCACAGACTAGATTTTACCATTATTCACGAATGTTTTATTTCTCTAATTAAAAATTCTCACATTTTTCTATTTGACCATAATCACCTAGCATTCTATCTCTCCCTATGCATGAACACCTCCTAAACCTGCACATTCCTTGCCAAACTTCAGCCCTAAATCACTCCTGTCTTCTATCTCTGCTCTATCTCAAGTTCGGCCAGACAGTAAGAAGGAGGTCACACAACATTTTGACTGAGTGAATTGTAAATTCATGTTATTCAGCTTCTACTAGGCCTTCACTGAAAACAAAGAAATCTTTTTATGCCTCCCAAACTGATTACCTCAGTGGCCATAAAAGCTCTTCTAAGCCTACTTTTCCTTGCTAAAACTTCTCACACCTACCTCTCCTCCCTCTCTCTTAGCTGAGGATTTTATCTCAATGGAGAATATTGTGGCCATTCAACAGGATCTCCTTCTCCTACCACTCCTTTCATCTCAAAACTCCTTGACATAATCCCCAGTATATACTCCTTTGTTCCCATATTTGACAATAAGGTAGCTTTTCTCCTTGACAAGGCCAACTCCTCTGCAAGAGCCTTTGGTTCCATTCCATTATTGCAACTTTAATGATTTCTCTCTATCTGCTGGTTCCTTTGATAAAGCTTTCAAAAATGCTCAAGTCTCTGGCATCCTTAAAAGACTTTCATTCAGCCCCTATCCCCTCATCCTAAACTTTTCCTTTCTCAGCCAAACTCCTAGAAAAAGCTATTTATATTCACTGCATTTTCTTTCTCTCACTTCTCAACCATCAGGAACTTGGCTTCTAGATCTCATCACCCAACTGAAAAGTCTCTCTCCAAAGTTATTAATGATTTCTTATTTGCCAAATCTAATGGTCTTTTCTTAATCCTAATCCTTCTAAACCTATCTGCTGCATTTGACACTGCTGGCTGACCTCTGCTACTATATACTCTCTCCTCTGAGCTTTCATTACACTGTTCTCTCCTGATTCACCTCCTGCTCCTTCTCCATCTCCTTTACTGGCCCATCATATATGTAATTCTCCTCAAGGCTCTATCTTGGGTCCCGTATAATTCTTTCTTTACACTCTCTGTTGGTGACCTCTTTAACTTTCTTGATGTTCTGGCTTGGGCTGACTCAGGTAGTTTAGATTTAATACTTAAACAAAATGAGACATTTGTAGGTCATTCAATGGTTAACAAAAAAGACATTTACTTAGCCATAGGAGAATAAGGATATTGAACAAGCACAGGCATTGAGGACATCTTGAGTAGATTCAGCTGAATGAAATTCCTATGCCATTGTGATCCACCAGCCAAGTATCTAGCACCCCTGTGGCTGCTTTGTACTCAGGTGGAAAGGAAGTGTTGTAAACGACCTGAACCTTTAATCCCAAGTCTCAAGGAAATCTCAGCATGGAAACTTTAACCTCCTCCAATTTTTTGACCTAGGCTTGTTTGTTCCTACTTAGGTAGCCTAGTGGTACTCCATCCTGGAGAGCTCACCATGTTTGTACTGGAGTTAGTAAGGGCACCTAATCACTTTTTGCCCTACTGAAGCTCCCAAATTCCAGATGACCATCCTCAGCCTTTCCCAGCAGTGGAGATTCTAAACTTGCCCCACCACTCCTGGACCTACACTTCCTTTTAGATTTCTTGATGAAATTCAACCACTTTTTCCATGAAGTCCTTCCTGAGTTTTTCCACTTCAAGTACACTCCCTCTCAACTACCCTGTTGTAGTGAGGGCTAATCCCCAAATGCAGCACAGCAGGGATCATTGTATGGTTCAAAGGAAGGCAAAATAGACATCTCTAGTCTCTTATTTTTATTAAAAAGGAGCTGGGAGAAGTATGAGGAACATTTAATGATAGTTAATGTGATCACATACATGTTGTTTCAACACAATAAGTAATTTTATTTGCTATGTGCTTAAGTTGACACTAAATAAACAAATAACTTCAGTCAGAGAGAAAATTTACTTGAAAAGATAACAGCAAACAACTTACAAAATCCATTTTATTTGTTGATTTTACTTTGTGCAAATAATCAAGGCACATGGTACATTCTTTCTTAGTCTTTCCAGCTGGCTGCTATTGCTGAAATGTACCAACTGCCCGTTAGAACATACAAGCTTCACTTAATCCTTGGGTTTAGCTGAGTTGGAACTTGAGCTTCAATTCACAAGACAGTTCTATCTTCCTTCTGGGTAAAATTAACTAATGTTTACTAGGGTTTACTAGAGTAATTTTCCAGTGAAACTTTCCAAATGTAGGCCCTATCAGCTATTTGCAAGTATTCAGTGTCACTGGGAATTTTTCATAAGATTGCCATTCTCATTTCTGATCCAACCTGTACAGCATCTGATAGCCTGGAATAGCTTCAAGTCCATTTCATAGATACATTTTGTGTGTTTCTTTGGTAAGACTACATATGTGTCCCATAAGGTACTTGATACATATAAGTTAATTCCTATTGTTCTACTATAAAAATGATATTGAAAATTGACTCTGGTCTATTCCTAAACAATGTTGGAGTGTTACTCTCTTAAGTAAGAGATGCTTAGAGATTCTGTCGTTTTGTTTCATTAAAAAAATTATATTACCAGTACCTCAGATATAACTAGTTGTAGGGGAAGGGTGGGGAAGAGGTAGGGAAGGAGAGAAGGGGAATGGAACAAGCATTTATATAATGCCTAGTATGTGCCAAGCACTGTACTAAACACTTTTTTTCTACAAAATTATCTCATTTGATATTTAATTAATGTTTGTTGAATGAATAAAGAAGAAATCACACAGAACCCTCCACCACAGATCCTAATATCAGAACTTAAATTTTAGACTTCCAGGTCAAGCTTTGCGTACTGTCAAGAATTTTCTCACCTCCTGGCTCCCAGTGTACAAAGCCATTCTCCAATGTCCTTCTGAGTACTCTCTGGCCAAGTCACTTTCTCCACAGCATTGTGGTTTCTTCTGAGTCCTTCTTAATTTTTTCCCACTGATTTGCTAGTCTGAATAAAAACTGTGTTAGAACTACTCCCTGCCCCTATAGCAAAGCCCCAACTAGAGCCTAATTAAAATTGTGATATAAAGCTAAGTTTCTTCCTTCTTCTTCAACTTTTGCCTCTAAATATCTCCCTTAAAGCTTCTAATGCTCTTAGGCTATCCCCTGTCCACCTAAGGACTCCTCTGTCCTATCTAGACTATCTAGACTGTCCTTACTCACACAAGCACCAGTCTCTGGACCCTTTGTTTTTAAATATATATCTTAAATTCATTTTTATTGATATTTTTTATTGTAAAAATACTTTTGTTTCCTGACATATACCTTTTTCAGAGAGTAATCCCATATAATAAAAAATGAAAAAGAGGAAAAAACCAGTTCAACAAAACTAACCACTATATTAAAAAAAAAAGCCTGCCTTTATATTAAGTGTTAAAGAAGTAGGGGTGGGGTGGGAGGAAGCTTTGTTTATCTCTTCTTTGAGTAGAAATTTGGTCATTTTAATTTCAAAGCATTAAGTTTTTGTTGTTTTATTATTGTTGTTCTTTATAATGTTTTAATCATATATATGATTATATATGTACACATATGCATATGAAGATATATGATCTGATGCAAAGTGAAGTAAGCAAAGTTTATATGTTCTCTGTATTCATCATATTTCATGGGCATTTACTCTTTTCTAATTTTTACTATTACAAAAAATACTGGCATAAATA